ACAAGAAATAACAGGTGTTGGTGAGGATGTGGAGAAAAGGGAACATCTGTGCACTGTTGGAGGGAATGTAAAATGGTGCAGGCACTATGGAAAACAGTATGGAGGTTCTTCAAAAAATTAAAAATAGAACTACTATACAATCCAGCAAATCTACTTTTAGGTATTTATCCAAAGAAAATGAAAACACTAACTCGAAAAGATATATGTACCCCCACGTTCAATACAGCATTATTTACATTAGTCAAGACATGGAAACAACCTAAGTGTCTATCCATGGATAAATGGATAAATAAAATGTGACACACACACACACACACACACACACACACACAGGAATATTATTCAGCCATAAAAAATAAGAAAATCTTGCCATTTGTGACTACATAGATGGATCTTGAGGGCATTATTCTAAATAAAATAAGTCAGAGAGAGAAAGACAAATACCATATAATCTCACTTATATGTGGAATCTAAAAATTAATAAATCTGAGCTCCTAGATACAGAGACCAGATTGGTGGTTGCCAGAGGCAGGGAGGAGGTGGTGGTGGTGGTGGGAGAGGGGGGGGGTGACATGGGTAAAGGTGGTCAAAAGTACACCCAGTTATAAATAAGCCATGGGGAATGTAATACACTGTATGGTGACTATAGTTAATAATACTGTATTGTATATTTGAAAGTTGCTGAGAGTAGATCTTAAAAGTTCTCATCACAAGAAAAGGAATGTAACTATGGATGGTGACAGATATTAACTAGACTGTGCTGATCATTTCACAATATGTACAAATAGCGAACCATTATGTTGTACACCAGAAGCTAATATAATGTTATATGTCTATTAAATCTCAATTATTAAAAAAATAATGAAAGATGTAAAACATTTAGTACAACACATTGTTAATATATAATAAGTGTCAGCTATTATTATTAAAAAGTGAGGTTACCCAGACACAAGCTGACCAAAGGGGGCACTAAAAAGCCAGCCTTTAATTCGGGTGTGAGGGGTACCCCAAAACGCTCTGGGAACCCGGAAGTCTACAGGAAGCTTCCAGGTGGCTCACGTTTCTCTGGAAAAATTCACAGTAGCTTTTTTAGAATTCACCCTGCTTGTGCCCATTCAGTTCCCTCTGCCTAGAATGCTCTTTCTCCCTTCTCTGCCTAGCTAAATTCCTCAGGGTCTTTTAAGACAGTTCAAGGACTTCAGACTGGGCTCAAGAACCCAGGACTGGGCTGGGTCCTTCTGTGGGGCTTCCCTGGGCATAGCTCAGAGCATGAAGAAGTGAGGCCTTCAGTGGGCAGGTTCCTTCAGAGCAGGGCCTGAGTTCCAGACATCTCTGTGTTCCCTGCGTGTCTCTGGCATGGAATAATGACAATGACGGTGATGACTGCTAACTCTTACACAACACTTACTAACTGCCAGGCACCATTCTGTGCTTTACAGATATTAATTCATGTAACCCTCACGATAACCCTGAGAAGTAAGTACTATTATTATCTCCTCTTTACAGATGAGGAAGAAACTGAGGCACAAAGACAGTAAGTAACTTGTCCAAGTCCACATAGCATATAAGGAGCAGAGCCAGGGTTCAACCTCAGGCAGGCTGGCTTCAACAGCCAGTGCCCTCAACTGATACACCAGGGGTTCTTAACGGGGCTGATTTTGTCCCCCTTAGAGGGCATCTGGCAATGTCTGGAAACATTTTCAATTGTCACAACTGGAAGGATGCTCCTGGCATGTAGCCAGAGATGCTGCTAAACTGTAACACACAGGGTGCACCCCACGATGAAGAGTGGTCGGGCCCCGAAGGTCGCTAGTACCAAGGTTGAGAAATGCCAGTGTCCACATACTAGGTATCAGTATGTCGCTGAGTGGATAAATGAACTCATAAAAAGACTTCAATA